TCAAATTGACCACTAGGGGGAGTAAAACATGTGTGGAAGAGGGAGAAAAAACCTAAAGCAACAGGTACACACAAGCCAGGAAAACAAGAATGAGGAAAAGTCCAATGTCTCAGTGTAACCTACCTAATAGGGTTTTTCATGAGGATACAACAGAGAAACAGAGAATCAAGTACATTACTGTGAGCTCCTTGGAGAAAGGGTGGGAGTAAAATATAACTAAATAAATAAAGTTCATAGGGAGAGCTTCATGGGGCCCGCTAGTTTTGCAGTGGTAAGCAGGGCAGCACTTTCCCCAGCAAAGAACTCATGTTAGGCAACCATGGTGTCAGGATCCTAAAGCAAGCCTGACATATGGACAAGGTGGGATGGAAGTCCAGGAAATCAGCAGCCAAGGGAATGCGGTAATTCTGAAGGAAGAAGTATTCACAGTCCAATTCCAAAAGGACCCAGATAAGGAAAGGAGGAGAAGGAGGAGGAGGAGATTGGATTTATACCCCGCCCTTCACTTGAACTCTCAGAGCAGCTTACAAACTCCTTTCCCTTCCCACAACAGACACCCTGTGAGGTAGGTGGGGCCGAGAGAGCTCTTTCCAGAAATGTCCTTGAGAGAACAGCTCTGACAGAACTATGGCTTGCCCAAGGTCATCCAGCAGCTGCAAGTGGAGGAGTGGGGAATCAAACCCGGTTCTCCCAAATTAGAGTCTGCGCACTTAACCACTACACCAAACAGGCCAAACCAGGGATCTTACAGTTACAAACAATGCTCCCTCTAAGCTGGGGAGTCCTGTGAGCAAAAATTCTACTTCGTGAGCTACGGTACTAGCATGAAAGTTGTGAGCGAGCAATTTGGCTGCTGCATGAATTAGTTTGCTCGGGAGCCATCCTTCCTGAGCTAAGACAAGAATGTGTGAGCCAAAGGCTAAAAAACTGTGATCAGCTTAGAGGGAACACTGGTCTCAAAGTGCTTAAAGCAATACTGGGCCACTAATTGTCCCCAGGGCTCAAGATGAGAATGGATCAATGGACTGTTTTCACACGTCCTACTTCCCTGAGCCGAACAGCATATCAGGGGTAGATAGTTTATTTAACTTACTTTCAAATAGTTATATTCTGCCTTATCTCCTTGGGTTCAAAGTGTTTAACAAAGCAACAACAAGATGCAGATGCGGCTCAGTGGAAGAGCCTCTGTTTTACATGCAGAAGGTGCCAGGTTCAATCGACGGCATTGTTAGCTAAAAGGATCGGGAGGTAGGTGGTGTGAAAGACCTGAGGCCCTAGAGAGCTGCTGCCAGTCTGAATAGACAGTGCTGAACTTGAAGGGACAATGGTCTGATTCAGTATAAAGCAGCTTTATGCGTCCATGTATTCAGGTTGCAAACACACAAAACAGCATGACAGTCCATCAACAAGATAAAAACCAACACACCAGGTAAAAACACAGCCACATCAGCTAACCGGTTTCCCTTCCACCAAACAGCCTCTGAAATAAAAGCATTTTGCATGCCTTCCTGAATGCAGAAAGTGAAGGCACCCTCTGCACCCACACTGGTAAGCCGTTCCAAAGGACTGGACCTACCACAGAAAAAAGCCCACAACTTGACTGTTGGCAGCCAGACTATTTTAAGATAGTGCAGGACAAGGGCTGGTTCCTTATGAAGAAATTCCTAGAGTCACAAGGCTTTTCTTGTTTCACACATTCATTTACAACCCTGCATTTTCTGTCATTCATTGGCTGTCCCCCCAAACTGCTTTCTCTCCAGCCAAACCCAAGCAGAGAGGTATGTCCAGTACCTGGTAATCATGTACCACAGTCCAGCCTGGTGCCCTTTAAAGGGGTGCGTCTAGCACTTAGTAAACAAAAGCTTCAAGGCAAGGTCATCTCTCCCCTTTGCAGGGTTCCATCTTAGCAGATGAATTAGGAAAAGATTGCAGCTTTTGATATAAAGGGAAAGGCACAGAAAGGTGACTGTCAGTATAGAGAACTTATTTTTCTTCCTGCTGCAGAGCTTCCAGTGTAGAAGAAAAGAAGAGAGAAGAGAAGAGACTGGATTTATACCCCACCCTTCACTACCCAAAGGAATCTCAGAGTGGCTTACAATCTCCTTTCTCCTCTCCACAACAGACACCCTGTGAGGTAGGTGGGGCTGAGAGAGCTCTTTCGAGGACTGCCCTTTCCAGAACAGCTCTGAGAAAACGTGTGACTGACCCAAGGTCACACCAGCAGCTGCATGTGGAGGAGTGGGAAATCAAACCTGGTTCTCCCAGATTAGAGTCCACACTCCTAACCACTACACTAAACAAACATATACAAAACACGTGCAGTCAGCCTTCTTTAAGTTTAGCTCAGAGTCTTACCAGCCATCTCCACTTGAACATGCCCACAGGTGCCGGATTGGCCTCTGCTTGGCACATGATCTCAGCTGTGCCTCCCAGGTCCACCGTGGTTGGATCTCCTATGTTGCGGATGGATGGTGCATCTATTAGGGGAGAGAAGGTTTGTGAACGATGCTAGGAAAATTCAAAAGGAAGGGGAAGACTCTGATTCAGGAGGCTTTTTAATACAACCCAGCCTGGTGGGATTAGGGATTGTAACTTTCAAGAAAATCCTAAAACAGGGCATGCCATGCTACCGTAGGCTAGGGTTGAGAAGGATAGACCAAGCCCCTTATTTCTCTGGCCTCTACAGACAAAGAAGTTGAGCTCACATTGGACATCCAGCAAAATGGTCGTCTCGCTGTACCCTTCTGAGTTCTCACAGCGGACCGAGTACTGGCCAGTGTCGGCACGTATCACATTCGAGATCTCCAGAGATCCACCGTCTCGCAAGTGGTACCGTGGGGAACCCTCTAGAGCAGATACAGAAAACAAACGGAATGTGGGGCTCACAACTGGGGTGTCAGCAGTCATCGCAGCCAACGAGTCCTCAGAATAGGTGATCAGTGGATCAGGGAGACAGGGTACATCACCACATGACATATCTTTCCCAGAGCCTTTGTGTAGACTCCCTTGACGTCAAGGGGCACCTTTGGAAATAGGCTATTCTACAAGCTGGCACCACACCAATTCCATTTTAGTTTATTTGTTTTATTTCAGGTGTTTATATTGTTGGAGAAGAAGCAGCCTGCTAAAAGTCTAGTTACTGCAAATACTGCTGAAAGAGTAGTTTAGTCCACTTGTACCCTAGGGGGTGCTGTGGAGCATTCTCTGGTGTTTTGGGTTTGTTGAATGTTTCTCTCTTGCAGTTCAGCCTACCTCTTGTTGTTTTATCTTCCTGCTGTGTGGTAGTATGTGTTAGAGCTTGTGCTCTGAAGGCCTTTCTGTGGCATTAATGGCCTGCAGTCAGTTATTGTCTTTTTTGCATAATCCTGTTGCAGTAAATTCAAAGAAAGGAAATTCCAAAGCATGGATTGGATTATTTCTGAACTCTGCCAACATATATCTCACTTGCTCAAAAAATATTTCCAAGGCAGCTCATGATATGCCTTAAAACAATAAAACTAATAAAAACACAGCAGCATCAACATCAATAAAAGCAACAGTGATGATTATTAAAAGCAGCAACAGATCAGTTTCAAATGTCAAAAAAAGACTAGAAACAAAAGAGCAGGAATACAATATTTCAAGGCCAGGTGAAGCAAATAAATGAGAACCTCTTGGTCTTAATGCTTGTTTGTGAAATTGTTTTTATGTTGTTGCTACCTGTCTGGATCCTGATATGCTTGGGAGAAGGGCAGGTATATAACTATTCTAAATAAATAAATAAACCCACAGTTTGGCTCACTCCTGTAGTCCTTAAGGTTTCCCTTGATCGAAAGCTAGTCGAATCCAACTCTCCGTTTCCAAGCTGAAGAGCCAGCGTTGTCCGAAGACATTTCCATGGTCATGTGGCCGGCATGACTAAACACCGAGGTGCACGGAACACTGTTACCTTCCCACCGAAGCGGTACCTATTTATCTACTTGCAATTTCTTGCTTTCGAACTGCTAGGTTGGCAGGAGCTGGGACCAGAGATGGGAGCTCACTCCATCACGCAGCACTCGGGTCTCAAACTGCTGAACTACAGACCTTCTGGTCTGCAGCTCAGCGTCTTAACCCCTGAGTCACCGCAGCCCTCCTGTAGTCCTTAGCCTTTACTAAAGTGACATTTTCTTCCCCTGTTGACCCTCACCTCCAGGACTCTCCCTGTGTCAAATTTTAGACTGGAAGCTCATTGGGGCAGGGACCTCTCTTTTGGTGGTTACTCAGTCAATGGCCAAGGACAGTGCCAGCGTGATTGTCCTAAGAAACGGGAACTATCATACACATTCTACTCAGCCCATGCACCCTGTTGGAAGCCTACCCTAGGCCCCAGTCCTAAGGACCTTCCTCCATTTAGGCACCTTGTCCCAGCAATCTCATGGAACCCACCTGTCAGAATTACCTCTCCGAGGAAGCTCCAGCGGTAGGTGATCTCAGGAGGGCTGGCAGAGACCAGCAGAGGCAGCCGGACAACTTCATACTCTGCAACTTGCACGGCGTGGGGCTGCTCAGCAGAGAACTCTGGAGGAACTGCGACAACCAGAGGACAGAAGGCTCCTTACATCTTGCTCCTCCTTACTTTAGAAGAGCACCACTGGAGGAGAGTAGAAGTCCATCTTGTCTACTCTGCTCTTCCCCACACTGGGCAACCAGAAGGCTTGAGGGTTGCCAACTCCAAGTTGGAAAATTCCCGGCAATTGGGGGGGTGAAGCCTGGGGAGAGTGGGGTTTGGAGAGGGGAAGGACCTCGGCAGCATTATAAGGCTTTGGAGGGTTGACTTTATAAGCACTTTCTCCAGGGGAGCTGATTTCTGCTGTTTGGGGATCAGTTATAATTCCAGGAGATCTCCAGGCCCCACCTGGAAGCTGGCAACCCTAGAAGGCCCACAGGCAGAAAGCACAAAGGCCTAAGTCTCCCCTTCTTCCTACAGTCTTCAACTAGCACTCAGAGGTTTACTACATCTGAAACCTAGAGGTTCCCTGTAGTCATCATGGGTAGTAACCACTGAAGGACTTCTCTCTGAATTTGTCCAGTCCCCTTTTAAGCCCTCTGCAATCGTGGCCATAACTACATCCAGTGGTAGCGAGTTCCATCAGTTAAGTGTGCATTGCATGAACAATGCCCTGTCTTTCTTTCCAGTCTAGGATGCCCAAGAGTATTTCCAAGAGCCGCAACTGCAATTAGAGAACAGTTCTCCATTAACTCTCCTTCCTTTACATTTTCCTGGAGAACAGACTTGACTAAAGTTCCAGTTTAATAATTAACCAAAGCGTCGATCCAATTAACCAACTGGCTGGCTGGCAGCAAAGATCATTCAAGTGCCTGACGCCAAAGGCTGCAACCCCTTCCCTTGATGGATAGCTTCACTACTTACATAGGATATTGAGCTGGTAAAAGGCGTTTACATCTTCAGAGAGGACCGAACTGTATGCATGGCATTCCACCCTCTGCCCGTGATCCGCCAAGTAAGCCACCAGCGTCACTTGGCTTGAAGTGGAAAAGCCTCCGTACTCTGCCTTCTTCTGCCCAAGGTCAATTGCATTCAACCTGAGGGACAGACTATTATTATTATTGTTGTTATTATTATTATTATTATTATTATTAGTCACAGTCAGATATTTGACTGGTAGATGGTGCTCTGCAATTCAAGATCTAGCTAAGTTCTTGGGAATTGCAGAGGTATCTTCGCCGAATTCTTGCTGTTCCAAGCAACACTGTCTTCTGGAGCTGACCTGATGTTATTTGCTCAATGCCCAGAATGTCCAATTGTTTCTTGAGACTTCTAGGCACTGCTCCAAGGGCCGCAGTGATAACTGGCACAATGGTCACCTTCTTCTCCCAGAGGTGCTCTAACTCTGCTTGTAAGTCTTGGTATTTTGTGGTCTTCTCCTGTTCTTTCTTTTCTATTCTGTTGTCTCTTGGGATTGTAATGTTATGCTCCAGGTGTTTATCTGATTGCAATCAGAAGTCCCAAAGAACCTTTGTTTCACCATTCCCCACTATATTATTATTATTAGCATTAGCATTATTACCATTGGCATTTCCACAGCATTTGTTCAAGCACTTCACCATTCATATGTGCATTGCTATCCTTACATTGACCCTATAATGCCGGCGATCATCTTTGTATAACAGGTGGAGGAGTGAGGCTGAGAAAGACAGAGTCACTTGCCTCTCCTCCATGAGTTTATCTAATCCCGCTTTAAAGCCATCTGCACCAATGGCCGTCACTACATCCAGTGGTAGTGAGTTCCATAAGTTAATTATGTGGTTTGCAAAGTACTTTCTTATCTCCACTTGGGTTCGCCCAGCAAGTTCACAGCAAAGATAAAGGTGTGAAACTTGCTGGCTTGCCACTCAGTCCCATAGCCACTACACTAGGAGTTCTCAAGTAGAAAACACGACCTAGGAATGGACCTCTAGCCTCCTTCCAGACCACTGGAATAAGAGAAGAGGGAAGAGGAGATTGGATTTATAACCCACCCTTTACTACCCGAAGGAGTTTCATAGCGACCTATGATCTCCTTTCCCTTCCTCTCCACACACACACCCAGCTCTGAAAGGACTTATGACTGACCCAAAGTCACACCAGCAGCTGTATGTGGAGGAGTGGGGAATCAAACCCAGTTCTCCCAGATTAGAGTCCTTACTCCTAACCCCTACACCAAATGCAAAGAAGGGTGTTATGCTATCCCTCTCTGGCACCCATATTTTTGGCCCATTCCTGACAAAGGAGGACTGAGAACCACAACTGAAACTGGGGAAGATGAAGTTCGGGGTTCGGGGTGTGGGTGGAAAGTTTGCCCATCTTACTCCTTTCCGTCTTTGAGCCAAGTGAGTGTGGCAGGAGGGTTGCTGCTGCCCGACTGGCAGGTAAGCTTCAGCGTCTGGTTATGTCTGACTTCCTTGGTTGTCGTCGTAATTGCTACCTGCAGGGGTGGATCTGTGGAAAGAAAGGGCAGTAAGAAAGCCAGCTCAGATTCGTGTTTCGGATGTACTACCAGCCTTCTCGGGGCAGAGCTGTCTGTTCAGAAAGAGAAACGTGGCATAGTCCTTTGGGGAACTATGGGGGTGATGAAAAGTGCCATCAAGTTGAAGCCGACTTACGGCAATCCTTGGAGGGGTTTCAAGGCAAGAGACAAACAGAGGTGGTTTGCCACTGCCTCAGGCCCGTAGCCAGGATTCTGTGTCTTGGGGGCAAAAAAAATTCTGGTAGAGCTGGTGGGGCTGGGAGTGTGCGCACGCAGGCCCCCTGCTTCTTCTCAAAAGCATTTAAAGGGATCCTTTAAATGCTTTTGAGAAGAAGGGGGGGCTGGTACACACCCCTCTCCCTCCCCTCCTGCAATGATTTAAAGGGCCCTCCAGCTGGCCACATTCTTCCCCAGTCGATCAGCTGAAGAGCCCTTTAAATCTTGCAGGCGGGGAGGGAGAGGAGCACGAACTCCCCCACTTCTTCCCAAAAGCATTTTAAAGATCCCTTTAAATACTTTTGAGAAGAAGCGGGGGGGGGCCTTTAAGAAGTGGGGGGCCTTTAAGGAAAGGGCAGAGCCCCCAATAGCCCCAACCTAGCTACAGACAGCATTGCCTGCCTCTACATAGCGAACTTCCTTGGTGATCTCCCATCCAAGTACTAACCAGGGCTGACCCTGCTTAGCTCCCAAAGTTCAGGCAAGATAGGGCCAGCCTGAGCCATCCAGGTCAAAGCTCAGAGAGCTATACGACTTCAGAATGCAGAAGCAGGAAAGCACAGGATGAAACGTTCCCCCTTCCTTCTGCACCACAAATCCTGTGGAAGTGCAAAGCTGGTGTAACCACAGGGGTTCTTCACTATCCTTCTCCCCACCACGCTGGCTTTCCACGTCCACTTTGGCATGGGGCCAGGGCTATTTTTGTAGAAAAAGCCCAGCATGAACTCATTAGCATAATAGGCCACACCCAACAGCAGGAACTCATTAGCATATTGGGCCACACCCCTGACAGCACAGCTCATTAGCACATTAGGCCGCACCCCCATGTTACCAGAAGTGTGGTCATCCAGCCACACCCACCTTTTGCTTCTTATTCTGTTTACCTTGTTTGTTGTCAAAACCCAGGGCTTTTTTTGTAGCAGGAACTCATTTGCATGTTAGGCCACACACCCCTAATGTAGCCAATCCTAATGAGTTCCTGCTGTTGGGTGTGGCCTGTTATGCTAATGAGTTCCTGCTGGGCGTGGCCAACTCAGGAGCCAGCCGGAACTCCGTTCCTGTGCGTTCCTGCCCAAAAATAGCCCTGGAAGACTAGTGCTCCATCCATCCCACCTCTGATGTCAACCTCCCCTTTCTCAGGCAGCAGGGGAAAGACCTGAGACCCTGGAGAGTGGCTGCCAGTCAGAGGAGGCAACACCGAGCCAAATGGACCAGTCGTCTGACACCGTGTGTACAACAGCGCCATATGCACCTGCACAAGGGGAGGGAGCGTGCCTGTGTACGTTATTTGTGCGCCGAGGCTTACATTGGACGTGCAGGCGAGTGAAGCCCGTGAGTGGAGGCTGGGTTCTGGAGGGACTGGAGGCGTTGCAACGGTAGGTAGCCATGTTGTCGCTGGGCGTAGTGGTCAGGAGCAATTCCTTGGAAACAATATTTCCCGATGGCCCTGTTGGCACCAGTATCCCATCCCTCACCATCTTGTTATCCTAGGAAAAGTAAACCAGAATGCAGTGAGGCGGCAACTTGTTCCAAATAGGCTTGGAAGTAGGGGTGATTCTGCATCTAGCATTCGCTCCACATTTTCTCCACTGGGAGGGGAAAGTGCAGCTCAAAACCATATCCAGATACCTCGTGGGCCAGCCAGTGCCACCGCCATACTGACTGCAAAGTCACCCCTGAACAGCCATAAAACAGCCATAAATCTATGCAGAACTATAAAATGGCCATAAATCTATGCAGAAGGTACAATAAAATCCAAAGATCAAAAGAACCCGAAAGTGGCATGGCGTGTAAGCTACCATAAAACCAGATAATCAAAGGAAGTGAAACCAGCATGCAATGCAGAGGGGAATTTCTGTTCCAACTGTTTCTGTTCTGTGGGTTTCGTAAAAACAACGGAGGGAAAAGCCAATGCAGAATCAGCCTAGGAAATGGGCAGAGGTGTAGCAGGATCCTGATTATATCACAAGTTTTCTTTGCTGAGCATATACATTTTCATGTCGAAGCACGCTCATATCAGGTTCATCTACTGAGTGCATAAGGCTTTTTTTCTCGTATCTTTGACAGCTAATTAAAACAGTTACAGAAATACGGTATTTATTGCCTTTTAATAGAGATTAAGAGTTTAAATTTGGCTTTCTAATCTTGCTTGAAAAAGATAATGAACAGATGTCAGATGTATTTTTAGATGCACCTGTTCGATGATCTCATCAGCTGTTAAGAACCAATCGTTTATCTAGATGATGATCACATGTTTAAGTTAGAAAATATTTAGCATTTAAGATAAGGTTGCTATTTTTTAATATAAATGCATTGAGGTGATGTGCTAAGGAAATCAGATTTCTCTGGACAGAATTCTCAGGAAAGATTAGGTGAGGTCTCTGTTTGTGTGTGTGGCTTGGGTTTATAGGGGAGGGGATCCTAAAAGGAGTTTAAGACTACAGTCTGAAATCTGGTTTGCTTACTATTCAAACATGATTGAGCAATGTTAGGAGATTTGGTATTTTTGGCACTTGTTGGTATAGCTATAGAGTTAATTTTCGCATGCTTGTATTTCCTAACACCTTGTCTAATAAAGAGAAATATTTCTTCTTTCAATAAAAGATAGCAATTCTCTGAAGGTTTTCCGCCTGGTTTGCTGTTAATAGTTCAAAGAACAGAACTCACAATTAATTAATTTGTATGATCAAAAAAAATTAAAGGTTGCAAACAACTTTAAATCTGAAATGTCTGGGGCGAAATAGTTTAAAGAATGATTCTTAGAAAGCTAATTAGTCCAAATTCTCCATTTGGATGTGAGAACAAATTATCTTATTACAGAGGGGTGGCGTTGGAGAGATGAAAGGCTTTCCCCCCTTATCTATAACTGCAAATATGGATTCTCAAACGTTCGCCAGTTCAGTCCAGTCACAAACAAGGAGCCAGTTTTTTAACAGACTGTTTACACATCTATCAGCCCATTAGTGGCTGTGGGCAGGTTGCTTCAACTTTACCTCAGGAGAGGGTCTGTGGATCACTAGTAGATCATCTGCCCAGCATGCAGAAGATCCCAGGTTCAATCCCCAGCATCTCCAATTAAGGATCAGGTAGGAGTTGATGTGAAAGACATCTACCTGAGACCCGGGAGAGCCGCTGCCAGTCTGAGTAGACAATACTGACCTGGATGGACCAATGGTCTAACTCATTGGTCAGCGGTTTCACGTGTTCATGCATTCTTAAGATTACAGTACAGCGCAATCTCACATGGCCCCGTGGGGTTCTAACTCCCTCCCATCTTTGTCACACCACTGCTCTATTCAACAGGGAGGCAGTTGTTTAAATGGACAGTTAAATCAGTCACAAGTCAGATAAATCGGTCATCAAGTGCTCGAAAAAACCTTAGTATCCACCTCATCACATTGTTGATATTCTCAGACCAGCTTCCTAGCAAACAGTGACTCCCCACACATGCAGACAAATTCCTGGCAGCAGTCCCCTGCTGGGAACAAGCAACTGAGGTTCAGATTTGCTTAGGGTTTCCAGGTCTGGGGTGGAAAATACCTGGAGACTTTGGGGGTGGATCCAGGAGAGGGCGGGGTTTTGGGAGGGGAGGGTCCTCAGCATGGTACAGTGCCACAGCGTCCACCCTTCAAAGCAGCCATTTTCTCCAGGGGAGCTGATCTCTGTCAGCTGGAGATCAGTTGTAAAAGCGGGAGATCCCCAGGCCCCACCTGGAGGTTGGCAACCCTGGGTTTGCTCCTAAGCCCACACAGGATCTGACCATCTGAGGGTCGAAGTACATGCGATGTTGGGGGTAGGTGATCAGATTCCTCAACATGTAATTTCGGGGAAGGGGGATATGGATTGAGGCCACGGCATTGCGTAAAGAGAGTGTACTCTTCCCTCGGCTTTACGCTTTCTGACCAAACTTAGAAGGGTTTCCGAAAGGAGGAGAGATGCTCAGGTACCTTGAACCAGTCGAGGCGGGGCAAAGGATTCCCACCACTGGCAAAACAAGTTAGCTTGACTTGGGTGCCGACTCGGAAGCATGTTTCTGGCGGAGGCACATCGATCCAGATCTTCTGAGGAGGATCTGAACCAAAGAAAATTAACAGTAAGGAAAGGAAGAAGAAAAAATATATATTAGTTGTGTGTGGGGGGGTGCAGATCAAAGAACACGACATTCTGTTGTAAGCAAAAGACTTGGTGCTGTCTCTTAACCTCAAACTTCAAACGGGAACTATAGAGGCTATAGAGCAGTGATGGCGAACCTTTTAGAGACCGAGTGCCCAAACTTGCGACCCCAAACCCACTTATTTAGCGCAAAGTGCCAACACGGCAATTTAACCTGAATACTGAGGTTTTACTTTAGAAAAAAGAACTCATACATTAACATAAGATGATCCAAACAAAGTAAGGAAAGCAATCCCAAATGCTTTCATTTACTTAAAATTATTTGGCAGAGAATTCGACACTTTAATGATGGTCTGAGCCTGGCTGGGGCGATGGCACGCGTGCCCACTGAGAGGGCTCTGAGTGCCACCTCTGGCACCCTTGCCACAGGTTCATCACCACTGCTATAGGGAGTCTGGCCAGCGGCAGATTGGAGCCCCCAAAATCAGGGGGAAACCCGCCCCAATCGGGGGTCTGGCAACCCTACTCTCGTCTATTATGACTGGCAGCAGCTTTCCCGGCTCTCATGCAGAGATCTGTCACAACACCTGCGACCTTAGCTGTCTGATGCCGGGGATTAAACCTGGGACCTTCTGCGTGCAAAGCGAGTGCTCTGCCACTGAGCCACAGCTCCTTCCCTTGACAAGAAAATATGAATCTGCCTTTTATTGAGTCAGACCATCCGTCGATCAAGGCCTGTGTTGTCTACTTTGACTGGCAGCGGAGGTCTTTCAAATCTCTTGATCTATTTTTAACCAGAGATGTTGAGGATTGAACTTGGGATCTTCAGCAAGCAAAGCAGACACTGTGCCCCTGAGCCACGTGCTCACATAGTACTTTGAGGGTCACGCTAGCCTTCTTGGCATACAGGATGGCTTCATTGAAGGCTTCACAGGTCAGCTGCAGGTCATTGTCCTCTCGGAGGGCCCTGTATGTCAGGTTGGAGACTGTGATCTTCCCACCATGATTTCCCTGCAGGAGGTAAACAGTCCTCATGTCTGGTGATTTTCAGAGCCTACTTTCTCACAAGCCTCAACTCCAAAATCTTAACTAGTCCCAACCGGTATTTTATTCTTGTATAGGGTTGCCAGCTTCTGGGCTGGGAAATACCTGGAGGTTTGGGGGGTAGAACCTGAGGAGAATGGGGGTTGGGGAGGGGAGGGACTTCAGTGTGGTATAAGGCCATAGAGTCCACCTTCCAAAGAGGCCATTTTCTCCAGTTGAACTGTTCTCTGTTGCCTGGAGACCATCTGGATATCCCAGGACATCTCCAGTCTAGGGCTGACAGTCCCCAGGTCCCGGCAAGGGTTCCTCTGGTTTTCGGGGCTTCTGCTGGGCACTGGCCAAATGGCCGTGGGGAAAACCGCACCCCAAAACAGCAACATTGCTGTGCAATGTCCCCAATACAATGATATCACCTGGAAATGATGTCATCACATCGGGGACGTCACATGGCGACTCTCTGGTTTGAGGGCAAAATTCTATGGTTTGAAGCTGGTTTTACCACAAAGTTTTGCCCAAAAACCAGAGTGTCACCGCACAATGTCCCCAGTGTGATGACATCACTTCCGGGTGATGTCATCACATTGGGGACATTCCAGAACCGGTGCAACGAGGGGACCTGGCAACCAGTGTTCCCTCTAAGCTGAGTTAGTGTGAGCTAGCTCACAGTTTTTTAGCCTCCAGCTCAAATATTTGTGTCTTGGCTCAGGGAGGAGGGCTCCAGAGCAAACTAATTTATGCAGCAGCCACATCGCTCGCTCACAACTTTAATGCCAGGAGCTCACCAAGTAGGATTGTTGCTCACAAGACTCCACAGCTTAGAGGGAACATTGCTGGCAACCCTACTCCAGCCACTGTCTATAGGGTGGCAACCCTACATAACACCATACTTAAAACACCCACCAAGAAGCATGACGTATGATCCCCCCTGGAATGTCTCCTGAGCAAGCTTAACTGAAATGAACAAGAGCTTTGCGGGAGAACTTCCTGGAGTGTGTCCCATCGGTCAGACACTGTTAGTGGAGTCCCACTTCCACTCCTGAAATGGCATCTCGCCTCGCCTCATGGTAGGGCTAACTTCTGGCCCCGCCTACCTCTGAGACGGTGACTTCGGTGGCATTGAGCTCCCTCCAGCCCAGCCACCAGCGCAACTGCACAGGGGGATTGCTGGAAGAGGTGGAGCAGCTCAGGGAGACCTCCTTTCTTTCTGGGGTGCTGCTCGAACCGATGATCTTCACCTCTTCGGGAAAAACTGACAGCCAGAAGAGAGAGAGATGGAGAAAGAGAAACAGACACCTAGTGCTTGCCGCCCATCCCTATGACACAGCTGTACATGCAATGTCTGTTTTCAAGTTGCCTTTCTAGGGTTCCTCAGCTCCCACCACCCTCAACACCAATTCTCATTCATTTATTTATTCGATTTATAAACTGCCCTCTCCCAAAGGGCTTAGGGTGGTGAGCATCAGTTAAAACATACAATAAATTAATCAAATGTCGGTCAAATGAAACCATTACAATAAAACCATTAAAATATAATCACTGATGGTATTCAGTGCATCTTCTCCCTCCATGAGAGGTGAAACATGGGCAAGGTGTGATGGGGGGGGGCGTTGTTGTCTTCAACCATAGGCCTGGTGGAACGTCTCTGTACCACCAGGTGCGGTCTGGTGGTATCACTGAATAGCAGTGCTAACAGGCAAACTTCACACACTACTAGGAGTCATCCCACATGGTATATCTGAATGCTTGAAGTCACAGTAGCCACAGCTTTGGAGAGACAGATGGCTCCTCCCACGCAAGAAGAAAGGAAATTAACAGTGGATGAAACAGGAAACCTAGCGGAGCTGTTAGCGCCACATCCCTGCCTCTCTCGATTTAGTGCCTCTGCAGTGCTTATCACAAACAAACATGCGCAGAAGACTTATCAGGACTTAACTACATGTTGTCCCGTTGAAGGGTCCTGCCAAAACAGACATGTTGTATGGATTCCTGTTGAAATTTAATTGAGAATATGCGAAATGTGTGTGTGTGTGGGGGGTCTCATTCAGAACAGAGCTGTAGCGTATAGGAAGGGGGGTTTGTAAATCCCCCTCACCACCATTCCCAAACCTGACCAGTCCCAGGGTGCCGCTGTTTGTGCGGATTACGTGTACTGAGGAGATATGCATAAGTTTCCCCAATGGGTCAAACACCAGTTCTTCAGGTCAGTAAAACTTCATGGGGAGACTGGGAAATAAGGCTTAAGCTTCCTCTCTACACGCACCCCGGCTCTGATCCAAATCAGGCCTCCACGCACCTGCGAATGAAGTTTCAAAAGTCACTGGGAATTAGGGTTTCCAGGTCTTACCCAGCTGCTGGAGGGGGGGGGGTCCAGTCCTCTCCTGGGAGTCTTCTTGCATCTTCTTGTGATGTCATCACGCTGGGCACGTCGAGCGGGGGACGCTCTAGCATTTGGCCAAAAAAACCCTCTATGGTCACCATAGAGTTTTTGCCCAAATGCTAGAGCACCCCCCATGCAACGTGCCCAGCATGATGATGTCACTTCCAGGTGATGTCATTGCAGCGGACACTTCGAGCGGGACGGGGCTCTTTAGGGGCAGGGCTCCCCCCACCAGCCAATTGGCCGGTGGTGGATTGGGAGGACACAGCCACAGGAGGTGGTGGTGGCTACAAGCATGGACAGCTTCAAGGGGGAATTAGATAAACATATGCTCTTATGTTCTTAAAATCAGGGGGAACCCACCCCTGTCAGGGGAATGGAAACCCTACTGGGAATTCCAAGCTCCCATTCTACATGGATTTCGCCCATGCAGGTCTCATGAGCTCCAGCATGGCCTTTTGGGTGGTCAGAGGGGTTCCCACCTCTCTCTTTCACCAGCTGAAATGCTGGTCAGATCCAACCCAATATATATACTCTTTTTCCCTTCTTGCTCTTGCGTCTTTCTGTTCCAGCAAAAGTACTGGCTAGCTAGGCCAGTTGACAGCCCAACTGTGGTATATTTATTGTATTGTATTTATTGTATACATGTATGTATGTAATGGAACAGTCTGCTCCTCCCCTGATACCTTTGTGATTTAGTTTGGTCCTATTGGGTGGAGCTCTTGTTTCAGTTTCCAGTTCTGTATGTTAGCTGAAGTTGTTGGTTGTTGGAGTTGTCTCCTTGCAAATAAACAGCAGATGTTTTGGGCCTTGGACATGCGGATGGTGAGAACTGGGACAAGAAGAAGGAAGACCCACAAAGACATGCATTTGCCAGAAATGTTCAGTACTCACAGACTACATGCAGGGTGAAGCTGGCCTGCAGGGGGAGGGATAATACTTGGTTCAAGGCCTGGCAGGTCACTGTAGCGTTGTTGTCTTCTGCTGTTAGGCTGAGAGTCAGGAAACTCCGGGACAATTGGTTAGTACCATCCGTTTCCCAGTTGGTGGAAATGACTTCCCCATTCTGCAAGACACAAGGCTGATAGTTGCTGCTTAAGAAATAATAGCCACTAGGTGGTGCTTCTTGGGGAGGGGATTGATATTGGCCTCTGCAAATCAGAAAAACAGTACATTGTGTCAGTGGCATGATATGAACAGCTGCTCAGCTGTTCTATCATCTGTAAAGTGACTCTGCACAGAATCTCCGTGCAACTACCAGATGACACCAGGAACATCCAACTATCTGCCAAGACTGCTTCAAAACTGCTTCCACGCAGTGGAGTCCTACCCCATATGTAAGGCCGGCCTTTCACTTCTCTGAGATCACTAAATGTTCATGAACATTCTAGCTGCTGAAGGGAAAGTGCCAATCATGTGATGTGGGAATTTCATGCATGGACCTGCAGCAGCCTGGCAAAACTCTGGCTGTTAGTTTCTGGATGGTTGCTAAGAAGATCATGAGTACCAAATAGTGCTTAGCAAGAAGCGCTGGTGTCCACTGCACAGAACACAACAGTGATTTTACAAGATGGTTCCCATGTATGCCATGGCACCCAGGGATGTGCTTTCTGGTACCCACTTCCCCAAAACATTTCTTCCTCTAAGCAAAGAACCAGTCCTGACTTTCCTTCACTTCATTGGAGAAGGATGGGCTTCAGAAAAAACCCAGGAGGAATCAATTTCCTCAGGGAGACACCCATTCAGAAACAGCTGCCTCTACCCCAGGAGGATACTTGGCTTGGAACCTCCTATGTGATTGGCTCCATGGCAGCCATTTTGTGAAGGCACTCACTACCTGCCCTCAGAATCCCAGCTCCAACATCCCATCCTCGGGTCTCCACTCACATGATGGTCCATTCTGATGAACTGTAGCCTTTTTTTTTCTGTTCTGAACAGGAGAGTCCCTGCTGTTTTTCTTCTCTCTCTCTAGCTGCTTCTGCGGCAGATTGAAATCTCTTTTGCACCCAGCACTCAAGGAAATTGGGTTAAGTCTGAATTTTAAGAAAGCTACAGATGGCAGACTTCAGGGTCTTCCATCATGCCCTGAAACACCTTTTTTTACTTTCCCGATGAGAAAGGGGCCCTGAAGTGGATAGCCCAGGCAAGCCAAATCTCATCAGATCTCGGAAGCTAAGCAGGGCCGACCCTGGCAAGTACTTGGGTGGGAGACCTCCAAGGAATACCAGAGGCGGGAAACAGAGGTAGGTTATCAAGCCACCTCTCTGAAACGTCCAAGCCCCACTAGGGGTTGCCAGAAGTCACATACGTACCAGCAAGCACATACAGACACACACGAATAGTCACCAAAAAAATTAAAAACAGTGAAGAGGCCAGGGGGCGGGCGCATGCAACAAGCCCCACCCCCTGCTCCCAGCAGCCCTCAGTCAGAGCAAGATAGGGGATCCCCATCCAGTGCCCCCAAGTTCTCCCCCCTACCTTCAGCCACTGCAGGGTTGCCAGAGGATTCCCACCCAGAGAAATGCAGGTCAGCTTTAACTTGTCCTTGGCTTTGACAACGGGGCTCTCATAGCCTGAGATGACGGGTGGATCAGGTGGAACTGACAAAGGAACACAGGGGAGGGATTATTTATTTATTATTTCAGTTACGCCCTACCTTTCTCCCCAAAGGGGACCTAAGGTGGCTTCCATCATTCCCCTCTCCTCCATTTTCTCCTCACAACACCCCTGCCAGGTAGGTTAGGTCACGTGTGTGTGATCAAAGTCACCCATCAAACTTCCACCACAGGATGGGGATTTCAGCTTGGGTCTCCCAGATCATAGCATGGCACTCTAGCCACTATACCACACTGAAAGAAAAGCAGGCTTCACGGCTCCCCAAAGTTGTCAACTACCTGGCAAGATATCTTGGTCTGTATTTGTCTGGGGAAGGCCTTTTAGGGTTGCCAACCTCCAGGTGCCACTGGGAGACCTCCCGCTACAATAATTGATGTCCAGATGACCAAGATCAGTTCCCCTGAAGAAAATGGCTACTTTGAGGGGCGGACTCTATGATATTATGTCCCACTGAGGTCCCTCCTAGAACCCCGCCCTCCCCAGGCTCCACCCCCAAAATCTCCAGGTATTTCCCAATCCAGAGCTGTCAACCCTAGTGGTTGCTTTGTTATTGATAATCAGGGGTCATTTCCTGCAGGAGCGCACAGGAGCGGAGCTCCGGCAGTGAAGAGGCCGGGGGCGGGCGCATGCAACAAGCCCCCCCCCCTCCTCCACCAGCCCTCAGTCAGAGCAAGAAACAGCCAGGTAAGTTGCAGAGCTCCCCCTGGCCCCGGCCCAAAACAGTCCAGTGGCACCTTTAAGACCAAGTTTTATTCAGGCGCAAGTTCTCCCTCCCCTGCGGGGACTGATCTGCACGTCCCCCCCCCCCGCAATAGCTAGCAATCCTAAACAGTTTTTTTACCAAGTTTTATTCAGGCGCAAGCTCTCCCTCCCCTGCGGGGACAGATCTGCACGTCCCCCCCTCCCCCCGCAATAGCTAGCAATCCTAAACAGTCCAGTAGAGCCTGAGCGGTGGGTGTTGCTTTCTGACACACTTCCAGTGATGTCAGGGGGTGTGGCATATGCAAATAAGTTATGCTAATGAGTTATGCTAATGAGCTCCTGCACCTCTTTTTCTGCGAAATGACCCCTGTTGATCTTTTTCCAATGGGACTCACAGTGGAATTCATAGAGCGTCCATGCAGTGGTTCATCAAGGCAGTGACTGTTTGGACTTCAGCCAGCCTGCCACATCACAGGTCTTCAAACCCAGGGGTATTTTTGGGCAGGAACGCACAGGAACGGAGTTCCGGCTGGCTTCCAAGTTGGCCACGCCCAGCAGGAACCTCATTAGCATAATAGGCCACACCCAACAGCAGAAACTCATTAGGATTGGCTACATTAGGGGTGTGTGGCCTAACATGCAAATGAGTTCCTGCTACAAAAAAGGCCCTGGGTTTTGACAACAAACAAGGTAAACAGAATAAGAAGCAAAAGGTGGGTGTGGCTGGATGACCACACTTCTGGTAACACGGGGTGTGGCCTAATATGCTAATGAGCTGTGCTGTCATGGGTGTGGCCTATTATGCTAATGAGTTCCTGCTGGGCTTTTTCTACAAAAAAAAGCCCTGCTCAAACCACACCTAAAGACTTGTACACAACAGTTGCATGGTGGTGGTGGTGGTGGAAAGTGTTGCTGAGCTGCAGCCAACGTACGGCAACCCAGTAGGGTTTTCGAGGCAAGAGGCGTCCAGAGGTGGTTTCCCATGGCCTACCTCTGTGCAGCAACCCTGGGCCTCCTGGGTGGCCTCCCATCCATGTAAGAACCAGGGCTGACCCTGCTTAGCTTGTGAGACCTGACAAGACTGGGTTCCCCTGGGCCCTTCAGGGCAGGGCGGCGGCAGCCTACCTGCACATTATCTTCAGAAGTAAAACACCCCCCCACACACTTCCTTTTTACATGGGCAAAAGCAAAAGGCACAGCTATTCTTCTACATTCCCTTTGTGGAGGGAAGAGGTCCTCCTGCTATTGTGGAAAGCCTGCCTATAAACGTCCCGGAATAAATAAGTCAAGAGTGGTCTTCCTGCTTCATTATTAGAGCCTTAGAAGGTAGACAATGCATGTTTTTAAAGGACACCTTTCTTTTCCTTTCAAACGCTAACAAGGGAGCAAGAAGCCCGGTTTCAAGCGGCATTATTTTGCAGTCCAAAACCACCCTCGTCGTTTCTGTCTTATGGTTACTTTTGTGCTTCTGAACATTTCCTTTCAACTGGATCTGCTTTTTGTGTTTTTCCTCTCAAGATGGGTGACCTGCTGCATGACACACACCAGGTGGAAGTACCTGGGCTCCTTCCATTCAAAGGGGGACCCTGTGAAATGGATATAGGCTGAGGGGGACTTGCTTTGGAAGGTTGCCAGATTGTGACCTGGAGAGACTGTACCAGACCTTGAATATCCAAAATCGCATGAGAAATAGCTACCTTTCATCTGCCTCTTCTCCCTACCTTTGGTAACAAGCAGAGATTCGAATGACACCTACTTCCTCTCTCTCTTTTTTAGAAAAAAAAAGAAACCTGCAAACCTATTCATTTGCTTGCCCGTTCCCCAGATCATCTTTGTTAGTGTTCTCCCTCTCCCTCTCTTGTTCCTGGGAGTCTCTGTTTCTTTTCTCTCTCTCTCTTTTTTCCCCCTCTTTAATTACAGCTGCCCTGGATAATGTCCCTCGTCCTCCTCCTCCACCTCTCGGCCTCCTTTTCTTCTCCTCATCCCACTTCTTTTTTTGTGTTTGCTTTTTTATTAGGCTGTAATAAAAGTTTCCTGGCTGCGCTGGGTAACCGGTATTATTAGGTTTCCTTGTCAAGGTCTGGCAAGGCATTCAGAATTACTCACACAGGACGTTCATGGCGAAACCGGCAACCGCTGGGATTAAAGAGGCTGCGTTAGAAGCTCGGCACATCAGCCATTTCCTATTGTCTGAGCTCTGGGGGGTGATCCTGGAAAGAAAAGCAAAGGAGAGAGAAAATCTGGAGCACGCGGGTACTGCAGGGCCAGTCCTCGATGATGGGATATTCTGGTTGGGTCCCTTACTGTGCAGTTCAAAGCTGGTGTCAGCCGTTGGCAGTTATCTATATAAATATATTTTTATCCCGTCATTCTCCCAAGGAGCTTGGAGTGACACGCATTTTACCCTTACAACAACCCTGTGAGGTAGGCGAGGCTGAAGGATAGTGAGTAGCTCAAGGTCACCCAGTGATCAGATTTCCCACTACAGTGGGCAGCTTCCCAGTCCCAGGGCCTGCTGCTGCTCAGTGGAGCAGTGGAAGCAAAATAGGGGGGGACTGGCATCATGTGATGCTGCAACGTCACTTCCAGGTATGTACGGCATTGCATAATACTCTAGGAATTTCCAAAGTCTCTGTGGTAAAAACCCAGGCCCATAGCTATGGTGGGGCTATTCGGGGCTACGCCTCCTTTCTTAAAGGCACAGCCCCACAGGAATTTGTCCTGAAAATTCTTTTTATAACATTTTTAAAGGAACGTGCTCACGCCCGCTGAGCCATGGTGGGCCACCTGCCACTCCTCGCACTTGCCCATCAGCAGCAAGAAGAGTGGTGGCAGCAGCTGCATCGCACTCGGTGCACTGCTGCCATTGGGGCAGACCTTTATGCTGATGCATCCAGCGGGTACCACACTGCCTCCGCCTACTCAGTTTTTCATGACTGAGTGTGGATTGTACTCAGATCTCTCAGATATTTGTTTGACAGGATAGCTAATGGAAGATGCACCCTGGTACCCAAAATAAGCTGCCATTCTTAATTTTAAGTCCCTAAATGGCTTGGGGATGGACCGCTTGATGGACTGCCTCCTCCCATACTGTCCAGCCTGCCAGTCAAAAAAGATCTTCTTCCAAGCCCTGTTCTTTCTGTAACCCTTCTTGTGGAGGCAAGGCAAGTGGTGACCAGAGATGGGGCTTTTCAGTGATGGCATCTTGCCTTTGGAATGTCCTCCCTCTTGAGGCTTGCCTGGCACCTCCCTTACTATCTTTTAGGCACCAGGCCAAAACATTTCTATTTACCCAGGCTTTTAATTGAAGGGTTTCATCTGTTTTATGGTCTGTTTCTAGCTGGAGGACTGTTTTCTGGCTATCGTTTTAGCTCTCTCCATTTGTTTTATGCTGTTATTTATGCCTCAGTTTGTTTTTTAATGGCTTGTTTGGGTTGTATTATATTGTTTTGGCTGCAGGCTGCCTTCAGTAGGTCTCTGGAGATGTGACATTTAAGTTTTCTAAATAAATAAATAAGACTGGGATGCAAACAGAACTCTGAGAGGGGAACCCAGAAAACAGGGTAACAGACGCACATGTATATTTCATAGTTCTCAATTTTTTTTCAAGTATTTTTTCAAGATACTTTGCAGTATCTCTCCTCACAACGGTGTTGTAGAAGCTGCCCATGATTGCTTCCGTTTCTCAGTTGGGAAGTGTTCGTCAAAGAATTCATGTGGCCCTGGAACCTAAATAGCTGGCCATCACTGCTCCAAAGATGGCGGGAGAATTTTTTTAAAAAAAATCACGGATTTTATGTCAACCTAGTAATTGTCAGGAACTGTATAGTTTTACCACAGAGTTTCCAGAGATTCCTAGAGTGACATGATGTCACTTCTCTTCCCCTCCCCCGTAAGTTACATCACAGCTCATACAACCCCAGCACCCCCCATGACTCCCCTAACTCCCAGTGGTTGCCAGGCAACTGATATTTTTCCCTCCAGACTACTCTGCTTCAAACCACCTAGATAGTTATGGCAGCAAGTAAGGAAGCACTGGAAAGAGGGGAGTAACTGTATAGGACACTGTCAGGACTTCTGTATAGGACACTGTCCGGGATTCTTTTCTTTTTTTACCTCAGCACAGCCTCTGTGTTGAAGAGTTTGTCTTCAGATCCCGGCTGGGTGCTCGATTCAGCACCTAATACACTGTCGTCACCTGAAGAGAAATAAGAAAACGGATGAAGGGAGAGCAAACTTCTTCCAAACTCTCCCCATAGCGGCCCTCCAAATCTGCCCCACCAGGGGATTGACCCGAAACAAAGAAATTCAGCTGGGCTCAGTGCTGAGTGGTTTCAAGTCACTTTTTGTGTCTGAGGCAGAAATCCAAAATGGTGTCTCCTTCATGGTGAAGAACATGGAGCACAACCTACCGTGGTCTTCCATAGCTCACTCAAAACAGAGTTCTCCCCGTTTTTTCTCTCATGATAAACCTGCGAGGTAAATGAGGCTGAAAGAAAGTGACCAGTCAAAGCCCAACACCATTACAGCCAATGCTCCCTCTAAGCTGTGGAGTCTTGTGAGCAAAAGTTCTACTTTGTGAGCTACGGGCATTAAAGTTGTGAGCGAGCCATTTGGCTACTGCATAAATTAGTTTGCCCTGGAGCCATCCTCCCTGAGCTGAGACAAAAATGTGTGAGCTGGAAGCTAAAAAACTATGAGCTAGCTCACACTAACTCAGCTTAGAGGGAACACTGATTACAGCTCCTGTTTGTTTCAATGAGACAGGGCAAAAAACTTCCCAAAGGATTGTGCCCAGAACTATTCCTCACCTGTCCCCTCCAGCAGCAAGCCAAAAGGTCTCCTGAAAAAATAGCTCCTGAGGGACAGGTTTTACAGGAGGGGAAACCGGAGAAGGGAATGGGTGAAAATTGTTCCCCCATCTGTTAGCAGGAAGTTACCACAAGATCCAAGCCAGTCTGCATAAAGTGAAGCAACACTCTCTTTCTCTCTGTATTGTTTCTATAAAAATCCTCAAAGATGTTGCCTGTTTACTGTGAATGGGCCTATAAAATGGCTAAGCTTGAGGTGATTCTTGAGGGGACTCGACAGAGCCTTTGACAAAAGAATGTTAATGCGCTTTATGGCTGTGGCTGTTTCCTGAATGGATAATTCAGGAGTGTCATCTGAAAGGAGTGCTTGGGTTATATATTTGTCAAAAAATATAATAAAACGGAGACAGACACCTTCTGCCCCCACTACTCTCTCATCCCAAGGAAATAAAAACCTGGGAGCATTGTCTCTGGACTGTCTCACAGCTCGGGGAAGTGGCATCTCTATCCAAAATCCCACTTGGACAAGGTTAAAGGGGTTAGGGCCCTGGAGAAACGATGATTTAGGGGTAGCATGATAGAGGTTTACAAAATTATGCATGGGACACAGAAGGCAGAGAAATAAGTACTTTCCCCCCTTTCTCACAATACGAGAACTCATGGGCACTCAATGAAATTAAGGAGCAGTAGGTTTAGAACAGATAAAAGGAAGTACTTCATCATGCAAAGAGTAATTAACACGTGGAATTCACTGCCATAGGAAGTGGTGGCGGCTACACAAGAGGGGACTGGATAAATATATGGAGCAGAGGTCCATTAGTGGCTATTAGCCACAAGGTATAGATGGAACACTATGGGCACATAAGGAGTTTGGCCCAACATGGCCACCCCAGATCAAATGGGTGCAATCAAACATGCACATCTAGCTCCCATTCCCAGGTCGTCCCTACCGCGCACTAAACGACTCCCATTTGGATTAAATAGCCACTGGCAAATTCCAGTGGCTACCTAAGTGAGGTGCTTCCATGGCAGGTTTCTGGGCGTCTGGGCACACCAAGGAAACACATGAACAGTATGATCGTTCCATTCCGTTTCCTATGCGTTTCCCATGCGTCCTTTTTTCCCCAACCCCACTCCAACCTGCGCTTCAGCGCCCCCACAAAATGTGGCCAGGACTGCATGTGCACTTGTCTGCTGCGCATGCACAGCAGGAGTTGGGAGGGGAACCAACCCAGCCACAGGTCCATTGTTGTGGCATGTTAATGATGTGAATGACCAACCATGGGCCCACAGCACTATGGTACCAGCTTAGGGGGTGCTGTATGATCAACTCAAAGCATCCCAAACTCAAGCGGCTTATTTAGAGCCGATATACTGCTGCAGCAAATGCTCATGTGACCACACCCTATGTCTGGGACAGTAATTCTCTGTGTTCTTGGTGACTGGGGGAGGGTTTCTGGCCCCGCTGGTGGACCTCCTGATGGCACCTGGGTTTTGGCCACTGTGTGACACAGAGTGCTGGACTGGATGGGCTGTTGGCCTGATCCAACATGGCTTCTCTTACGTTCTTAACAGGATTATGAGAACCCTCTCACCCTTGCTGAAGGCAATCTCTGCAGCAGGCCGAGCATCCTTCACCTGGCAGTTCACCGTGTACTCCACGCCAGCCAGCCACGTCACTGTGCTGTTGGCCTGGTACTCTGTGAGGAGCGGCATCTTTGGGGGCACTGTGAGAAAGAGAAGCAAAGTGGACAGTGGAAATTTCAAATTGCTTTTCCAGTTCGAACACAGAAGCGTTTCCACAAGTCAGGTCTAAGTCAATGCAGACTTTAATCAATTAATTGGCTAAATGGATCAATGAAAAAAATCTGTTGATTGACTTTAAAAGTGCCCCTAATTAACCGGGCAATAGATCTTCAAATCACCATGGAGAGAATGCCTCTTTATTTATCTCCCCCCCCCCAAAAAAAAAGAGTGCTCTGAGGGTGGTGAGTGATAAGACACGCACCTGCCTCATGTATTTGCATTTCTTCAAAAACAATTTTTTTCACTACAAACAAATCTAGGCAAATTTCATTGAACTGATTCACCAAACTCATATAAAGAATCAACAAAGGTTGCAATCATGTGCCTACTTCCTCGGGAGGACTTTCTGTTAATACAGTAGAACTTGACTTTAGAAAAGCATGCAAGGTTTGGGGTACGTGGCTGCTTAAACGGGGCTAGTACACGGACTATGAACAGACTTGATTAGAATAGAATAGAATAGAATAGAATAGAATAGAATAGAATGATTCAGTATCCATGAGTATTTGGTACCCACTTATGCCCCTCATACTAGCTGCTTTCCCCCCAGGACCAGCTCAGCTTCCCTCCACACACAATTATCCTCCTCTTTCTCCTTGCTGCAGATGCCAATGGGTGCCATTTTTGGAGCTCCTACAGCAACCCATTTTAGGTGGCTACCGTCTTGTAGCCAGGGCTGGACCTATATAGTAGATTCTTTGATCTGCACAGAGATCACTCCTTGGCAACAGAACAGAGTAGAGTAGAGTAGAGTACAGTAGAGTAGAGTAGAATTTTATTTATTTATTTATTTGTATTTATATGAAACTTTACAGAGCACAAAGGTAAACTTTACAGAGCACCAAGGTAATGCTCTGCCCCAGGCCATTCCAATCAAAATGTTGGCAGCAGGAAAGACAGGGGAGGAAAGGGAGAGTCCTGGGTAACAGGTGAGGAACATATACAAATACAGGTACATATGTCTAGTTTTATTTCAGGCCAGGGGGAGTGGAAACTCTGGGTTTATACCTAAAGCTTCATGGGAAAGATGGGTTTGGAGGAGGGGTCTGGAGGAAGAGAGAGGTGGGTCTACAAAGATTTTAAAAAGGCCCCGCTAGAGGGGTGGGTACCAAGGCTTCTTTAGAACTGGTCCTGAAAGAGGTGGTATTCGATCAACGGGGAGAGCTACAGAGCACAGGGCTCCGATTTTCTCAGGTCCTTACCAAGCACGGTGAGCAACACACTGCGTGAGATGATGGCACCGCTTGTCTCGGAGGGTCCCACCTGACACTCGTACAAGGCATCGTCTTCCAGTCGGCTCCTTGTTATTTGTAGATTATGTTCACCTGAAGTACCCAAAGATAAGGCCAAACTTAAGTGACAGTATCCTTGCTGTTTGTTTCACACACTTTATTTTTTTTTTGGACTGGGCTGTATTTGAATCTTGCTTCAGACTTGTTTCACGATGGATCACGCTAGCAATTCCTACTCACATCCAACCGTAAACAGAGCCCAGTTAACCTGTCTCCCGGCCTGCCTGCTATGCTCTGAGCATTCTTCATGACCATGGGCTTACTGCTCGGACACAGAATCTGGTGTCTAGTGCAACACAAGAATCTCTCCTTTTTTTCAGCTTAGAAGACAAAAAATAAGTTTCTAGCTCTCAGTGTCGTTGAGCAATGCTTGGGATCGTCCTGCTCTGTCTCTCCACTCCTCTCTCCCAATTTATTTGGAAATTTGATTCTTGAAAGAACAGTAAGTCATGCAGATACATGCCAATAGTGATACTGTTCTGCACTTGTGCATCACAGTTGCCAATGGACCATATACAAACTGGACAGGCCTGCTCTTGTGCTCTGAACAGCAGCTCGATCTGCACAGATCACTTGCTAACTGCTGCAGATCGAGTCGTTATTAAAGACGTCACTGCAAGCATGGCCAAATTAAGACCTGCCAAGGCCATAAACGATGGCAAGTTTAAGAGGGCATCATTCACAAGTGCATCAAGTTGCAACCAATGTATGGTGACCACAGCAACGGGCTTTCAAGGCAAGTGAGAAGCAGAGGGGGGTCTGCCATTGCTTTCCTCTGCCGAGCCCTCCTTGGTGGTCTCCCATCCACCCTGCTCAGCTTCTGAGATCTGATGAGATCAGGCTGTACCAGGAGGCCCCCTAGTGTTACCCCCCCCCTAGTGTTATCCCAAAAAAATTCTAACACTGAAATTTAATACTTTTTTTTCCCATTTAGAGGTTCCTCATAATCTGAGGACCTTGGCTGGGGCTTACTTAGCTTGTGAGTAAATCCAGCTCTGGCTGAAGGCATCTGCTTGCCATGCAGAAGATCCCAGGTTCACTTCCTGGCATCTCCAGTTAAGAGATCTGGTACTCGGTGTTATGAAAGATCTCTGCCTGAGATCCTGGAGACCCACTGACAGTCTGAGTAGACAATACTGATTGTGGTGGAGCAATGGTCTGATTCCATATAGGGACACTTCGTATGTTCATAGTTCAAAAAATCATCAGCCCTATTACACAGTATCATTGCAGCTTTGCATACAATAATTATTAGTCATACCCAGGGAGAAAACCCAAGGAGAAATCCAGGGAGCTGATCCCAAATCATCAATGTGGAGCATATTCTAAGGTGCACCAGGGCTGGAGAAGAGATACTCAAACACCCACCAGGTTGGCTCACACCCTGCTCGCCAGTCCCAGTTCAGGCAACCAGTTTTTCAACAGGCTGTTTGTCACTTCATCAGCCCATTCATGCCTGCCCAGCAGGTTGCTTCAACTTATTCCTTCTTGACAGTACAGTACAAATGGCTGTACCATACATGTTCTCACACAGTCCAATGAAGTTGTCTCCTATCCTTGCTGCACAGCTACTTTGCTTGGAAGGCAATTGTTTAAACAGTTAAAGCGATCACAAACTGTATAAATCAGCCGTAAATAAGTGTTAGGATTTGACACAATCCTCCCTTGTCTAAGTAATCCTCTGTGACATTAATGGCTGCCAATCTCTTTGGACTGGCAGTGTTTTCGGACATACACCATTTTGCAAAAACCCTGTGCAAACACATGCAAGCAAGTGTTCGAGCCCTTCAGAGCTGGTGGCCCTGCAGTACCAGCTTTATAGCACAGCAGGGACCACTCAGCTTGGTTTACTCCAGAGTGACATACCTCACCCGGTGACCTCACAGAGTTAAGACAACACCCCTGTAGAGGACCTCTCACCTTTGCTAGGCTCTCCCACCATGCTGTAGCGGGAGAACCCGGGAATGCTGCGGCTGGGACCTAGCAGAAGCCCGTCCTTTGCCCACTGCACGATGCCAGACGTGTTCTCCACCTCGCACTTGAGGACAGACGTTTCCCCTTCAGAGGCGACCAGGCTCTCTGGCTGCGCGAGGACAGGCCGTTGAAGGTTCTCTGGGTGGCAGCCGAGGAAACAAAAAGCATTTGTGACACTGAGCAGCTGGTCTGGCTCAACTGTTTGCTATTTCCTGCATGCTGATGACACCTAAGAATTTCTAGTTCTGTGTTACCAGGAAGGAAAACCGAATCCCAAGAACATAAATGATCAAACTGGACTTTCTGCATTCGGATCAGAACCGAATGAGAAACTGGAAGCGGCAGACATCGTCCTCCTCTGCTTGATCCTCACAACAACCCTGTGAGGTAGGTTAGTGCCAGGCAGGAGGTCATCTGGTGAGCTTTTTGTCAGAGGGGGCAATCAAAACCAGCTCCTCTCTATCTCTAGTCCACCCTCTGCCCCACACTGGCCCACTCAAATCAGGACTGTGAAGACTTAACCCTTCCTTTCCCTGCCCTCTTTTCCTGACTTCAAATGGCTCACCAGACCTGCTAATTCTCTACTGGTGGTTCAAAAATTTGTGTAGGATTTAATAGTGCTGGGGGGGGGGTGTTCCTGAAAGATCTGAGAGCCCCCTGCCTTATCTATATACACCCCACTCTTCTCCCAGTGGAAACCCAAAACAGCTTACAACTTTGTTCTGTCCTCCCCCATTTTATCCTCACAACAACAGCCACCCTGTGAGGTAGTCAAGGCTGAGAGGCAACGGGAACCCAAAGAGCTTTTGACAGAGTGGACACTTGAACCTGGGTCTTCCCAAACCTCATCTGACTTTCTAACTGCTGCACCACACTGGCTGTCTAAAGGAGGAAAGAAGAAGCCTTACATTTGACAGTCCTATCAGCAAATCAGATGAATCTTCAAAAAAAAAGTCCCATTAGGGTGTGAAAACCGTTTGGGGGCAGAAGCTGTGGCGACCTTTGGCCGGGCCAAATTACCATTACACAGTACAAAATACTCCCTTTCAGAGCTTGCGTCCCTAAAGGGATTCATTTGGGGGAAGTTATGAACCATTGAAGCAGAAGGAGATCAGACCGCATTCCTGTCGGTTCCAATCGAATGCTCTCTCTGAGGAGCTGCCCTTCGGCTGAACGTTCTCACCTTCTCCTGTCAGGCCCAGGAAAAGGCAGATGAGCATTACTCCAAGGCCCCGGGGCACCATCCCGACTCCTGGACGCTTTGGAGGTAAGAATCAGAGTCTTGGGATGCTGGAAACCTAGAAGTAATCAGAGGCTCATGAGAAACGGCACCAGAGATGCTCTTTCCTCTGTGATAATGTTGGCACGTCATTTAAGACTAGGGTTACCAACATACAGGTGGGATCTGGAGTTCTCCCAGAACTGCCAACTGGTTTCCAGACTCTACAGAGGTCAGTTCTCCTGGAGGAAATGGCAGCTTCAGAGGGGGAGATATTCTATGGTATACCATAGAGTCTAGGAGAAATGAAACCTAGAGTGACATCACATTACCACGCAGTTCCATCCCTTCTTCTACTCTGCCCTCCCCAGGGTCTGCCCCCAAATCTCCAGAAATTTCCCAACCATACTTAAGACCTAACACTGGGAGTTCCATGAACAGAGTTTCCAGTGGAAGGGGGGGTCTTTAAACACCAGGCTCATGAGAGGGGGCATTCAGAGAGGGACCACAGCATAAGGGGAGAGGGAATTAGCCTTCCTGTCTGCATAGTGTTAACTTGAAATGATCCCAGGAGCAGCTATCTGCCCTTGAGCAAACATACAGGTCCCCAAGGCATAGGGATGCCAACTCTGACTTGAGAAATACCTGGAGATTGGGGGCAGGGGTAGATGCTGGGGAGGGTATGTAGGGATTTCGGCTATAATGCCACAGAACCTGCCTCCCAGAGCAGTCATTTTCTCCAGAGGAAATTATCTCTGTCACCTGGAGATCTGTTGTCATTCCTGAAGACCTCCAGGCCCCACCCGAAAGCTGGCAACCCCTATGAGACATCTCCCCGCTGGTTGAGGCCTTAGGCTGGTGGTTCTCAAAACGCGGTCCGGGAGCCAAAAACGGACCAGGATTCCACTGCAGATGGGGTTTAAAGCTCAGGTGGAGGAAGAGAACACAGTGAGCCTCCGTGGGAGACTCAGTGCAAAATCTGGGTTTGTCTTTGCATAAATGCGTGGAATGGCCACGAAATACAGCTCGTGGCTCAAAGGATGCTAAAGATTCATAAACAGCAGGCATGAAAAGCACGAAAACATGGCTGTGCTCACTGATGTTCTATTCTTGCATTTTAGGTTGGGGAGGCAAAGCAGTCCTGAGCAGTTGTTCTGCGAGGGGGTCCCCAAAAGTTGAAGTTAGTCCAGGCTCAGGTCCCAAAAGGCTGACTCTGCCTGCTTGACTCAGAACGCTTAACACAACAAGGAACTGTATTTATTGACTTAATTAATATACGCCCCACCTTTCTCCCCACTGGGGACACAAAGCAGCTGGCATCATTCTCCTCTCCCTCCAGTCTATCCTCACAACAACTATGGATGCCATTTCCTCCAGGTGGGACCTGGAGAGCCCCCGGAATTACAGCTCCTCTCCAGACTACAGAGATCAGTTCCCTGGAGGAAATGGATGCTTCGGAGGGTTTGGCACTGTGCCTCACTGGAGGTCCCTGTCCTCTTCAGGCTCTGTCCCCAAATCTCCAGGAGTTTCCCAGCCTGGATCTGGCAACTCTAACCCCCCCATCCCCCACCGGTGGCCAGGGAGGACCTGGCAACCCTAGCGACAGCCCTCTGAGGTCGGTTAGGCTGAGAGCACAAGCACATGACTGGCCCAAGGTCACCCAGCGAGCTTCCTGGGCAGAGTGGGGATTCGAACCTGGTCTCCTTGATCCTTGTCCGACTCTCTCACCGCTGCACCACACCGGTGTTGGACTACGCAAGGTCTATAGTGCAGTCTTATGAAGAAGATCTGAAGATCACCCTACATGGGGACAGCTGAAGTAGTTTGCATAGCTAGATTAGGGACTGCCCACAATTTCAAACTGTGTCCTTGTTATCTCCTGAGAGGCTCTTCTGGAGACTTCCTGCAGAGCTTCCTTCTTGTTGTTGTTCCACTCACAGCAGTTAGGCTAGACAGTTATGGTTCTCTCTCTCTCTTCTATGGTCTATAAGAGTTTGTTCTTTTTTTAAAAAAAAAATTGTTGTTCCTCTCACAGCAATTAGGCTAGACAGTTATGGCGCTCTCTCTCTCTCTTCTATGGTCTATAACGGTTTGTTCTTCTTTTTTTTAAAAAAAACCTTCTTATTTTTCTCTAAACAGTCAGTGCGCTAGATTAGGGACTGCCCACAATTTCAAACTGTGTCCTTGTTATCTCCTGAGAGGCTCTTCTGGAGACTTCCTGCAGAGCTTCCTTCTTGTTGTTGTTCCACTCACAGCAGTTAGGCTAGACAGTTATGGTTCTCTCTCTCTCTTCTATGGTCTATAAGAGTTTGTTCTTTTTTTAAAAAAAAAACTTCTTATTTTTCTCTAAACAGTCAGTGCTCCACTTCCTTTGCATACTTAAACTCCTTCAACAGCCAGCTGGCTGTCTTCCATGCCCTGGGTAGATTCTGATAAACCAGCCGATGCCCCTGCAGAATGCACCCCCATGCTCTTTCCAGGATCTTACCTTGTTCCCGGGAAGGGATGCTCGGACCGACTCTGCCGACCGCCTCTCCCAGAACAGGACTGCTGACCCAAAACAGGACTGCCGAGTCAGTGAGATGGCTGAGATTCCAGCTCTTGTCCCTCCTCCGTGTGCCCTTCTGGCAGAATCTCACACTTCTCATCCCTCATCGCAGGAATAAACAGCACGCTGACAAGAGGCCCACACCACCCGCCAAGGGCGAGGAAGGTTCCAAGACAGTACAGCTACCCTCCCCCAAATCCATTTCCCGTTTTTCCGCTGGGTTATGATTTATACCAGGAGACAAGGATCATTGCTACTCAGGACTATTTGGAATTCATTTAGAGGGATTGTTCCCATGAGAGGTGTTCCGGGAGAGGTATTCCCGTGAGAGGTATTCCACCAGTGGCTCAGAACCACAATCCATTATCCCTTTCTCCACAGCCTCAATGCGACGAAGTTAAAGGCACCTAAACGCGTTAATTTCAACATGCTTACGGTGCAGTCCTATGTAGTTCTAGTTGGAAACCTACTCAGGTGTACCGGATGGAGCTTACTCCAGGAAAGTGTTCTTAGGATTGCACTGCTGAAAGGGGGCTGTGGAGTTGCAGCCAACTCATGGAGAGCCCATGGATTTCCAGTTCGCAGTATTTTCAAAGGAAGAAGAGAAGAGAAGAGAAGATTGGATTTATATCCCGCCCTTCGCTCAGAGACTTGGAGCAGCTTACAGTCTCCTTTAACTTCCCCTCTCCACAATGGACACCCTGTGAGGTAGGTGGGACTGAGAGAGCTCTTTCGAGGACTGCCCGTGAGAGAACAGCTCTGAGAGAACTTGTGACTGACCCAAGGTCGCACCAGCAGCTGCATGTGGAGGAGTGGGGAATCAAACCCGGTTCTCCCATATTAGAGTCCACACACTTAACCACTACACCAAACTGGCTCTAACCAAAGGTGACGTGCCATTGCCTTCGTCTGCATAGCAGCCCCAGTCATCCTTGTTGGGCTCCCATCCAGGCGCTGACTTTGCTTAGCTTCCAAGGTCTAGTGAGATTGGGCTAGTCGGGGCTATTAGGGCCGCTACATTGCACAATTGCTGTTTAATTCAGTGTGAGATTGTGGTTCATGCATTTAAGGATGGCAGAAATCTGGGAACACAGGTCATTGACGGGATCATGTGACCACGGAAAGTAGAAACAGTTCTGATGCAAAATGAAAGAAAAGGATTTCCTTTCTAATGCAGCTTTTGCATGTGCATCCACCTGTTGCCTCTGGTCAAACAGGTAGTGCAAGTTTTCGAAGCACAGCAACCTGCAAGACCTGTTTACTGAAGGCAAAAATAAGATACATGTCACAGGCTGTCACAGAGAGCCAGTTTGGTGTAGTATGGTTAGGAGCGCAGACTCTAATCTGGGAGAACTGGGCTTGATTCCCCACTCCTCCACATGCAGCTGCTGGTGTGACCTTGGGCCAGTCACAAGTTCTTTCAGAGCTGTTCTCTCAGGAGCAGTTCTCAAAAGAGCTCTCTCAGCCTCACCTACCTCACAGGGTGTCTGTTGTAGGGAGGGGAAGGAGATTGTAAGCCGCTCTGAGCCTCCTTCCGGTAGTGAAGGGTAGGGTATAAATCCAATATCTTCTTCTCTCTTTCAAATCACCTTCAGTTCTCTGAATAATATATATATATATTCTTCGTCTCCAATCTAATTTTGGAGACGCCCCCAAGTAGGCATCTACAGCATATACAGAAGCACACCAGAGGGGGTCATTTGTGGGAACTCACATATGCTACACAATCAGTTATAGCCCCATCGCTGCTTTTGAGCTGCATGTTACCTCTGTGCTCCCAGTGAAGGGAAATAACACTCTCCTGCTTGCAAATACGATTCTGCTATTATTTGATTCCATTAGGGAATAACACAGTTACGACGACAAAGCCCAGAAGAGTAGCTGTGTTGATCTGATGTACCTAAGAACATAAGAAGTGCCCTGCTAGATCAGACCAATGGTCCATCTAGTCCCGCAGAGTAATGGTCCATCTAGTCTCACACAGTGGCCAACCAGTTCCTCTGATGAGTCAACAGCAAGGCATAGAGGCCTAGGGGTTCCCCCTGATCATGTCGCCTCCTGGCTCTGGGATTCAGAAGCTGACTGCCTCTGAATGTGGAGGTTCCCCTCAGCCACCATGGCTAGTTGCCACTGATAGAGCTATCCTCCATGAATCTATCTGATCCCCTTTTAAAGCTGTTTATTCATGGGGCCATCACTACATCCTCTGGCAGCGAATTCCACATCTTAATTACTCTCTGTGTAAAGATGTATTTCCTTTTGTCCGTCCTGAATCTACTGTCCACCAGCTTCATTGGAGGCCCTAGAGTGCTAGTATTTGGGGAGAGGGAGAAAATTTTCTCCTTGTCAACACTCTCCACCCCCATGCACAATTTTATAAACCTCTGTCACGTCCCCTCTTCGTCATCACTTTTCTAAATTGAAAAGTCTCAGATTCGTCAGCCTTTCCTCATAGGAAAGATGCTCCAACAGCCACA